GTGACTCGTCGCGCGTCCAGAGGGTCCGGGACGACGATTAACGCGTTTCGTGCTCGAAATCGTGGCGAAATCGCGGCAGAACGACCAACAGGGGACAAAAGCGGCCTAGTTGCCGCGGCTCGTTCACCATTCACCCGGGGGACCAGCCGTCGAAACGATTTTAAGTGGCCCCGCGAATTATCCCGAATCGCGCCCGATCATCCGTGTTATCGCGATTGCCCTTCCCGCGCTTTTAACAGTTGCGCGTTTTCAGCTTGTTCCGGTTTACTGGTCCCCGCGATTTCGCCCAAACCTCAATGGATAATTGTGAATTTTGTCAGAGACAGGTAGTGTGTCATTGGATTATTCACGGCTCGATCCTCCATTACGGAAAGAACATCCATAGATATCTCTCCTCTTCTGAACGTACGCCGCAGTTGAAAGACTTCTTCTCATCAACACTTACGTACTACTCTTGCTCAATCGACGAAACAGTTCACAAAGACGAGCTTCTTCTCTTTTTCCTCTGTACACGAGAGAAAGATCGAGCCGCGAATCGAAGCGGAGCGAAACGATTCGACGAGGCGATAAGCAACGGTGGATTCCTAGAATTTCTTCCACGGTGGAAGAGTCGCGTCGTCGGGAATGCGTTCCGCGAGAGCGCAACCGGACCCCGGGAGGACTCCTCGATTACCGATCTTCAAAAATCGAAGGAGCCAGTCGCGGTCCCCCGGCGGCGGTTTCCAAGGAATCGCATTGAAACTGAAGGGAAAAAATCGCTCGCCAGCAAGATTACGCCTGCTAGCTGCGCATTCGCTAGGCTGCGTCCAATTGTGCATATATCGGATATACGCGGCGGCGGCGGTGGTAGGCGCGCGTACGAGAGAGCCACGGTTGAACTTCCGAGAGATGGGAATCGCGTTGTCATCGGGTTTATCGCAATTATCGTGGCGCTTGTGCAAATACGCGCGTCCGTGGGAATGTAATTAGCTCGGGACCGCCGGGGCAAACAATAACGTTTCGCGGAGGAAAGCGCGGGTGCACGCGAATTCGGGATTTTTCTCGATCACGCCGATAACCGCGCGCCGCCTACCGCCGGTTCTGAGTACACGTCAGCACGCGTTCTACGCCTGTTTATCCTGCCCTTGCAAAAACCATGCTGGCTGTATCCGCGCTTGGGAACGTTGTGGGTGGTTGGTCGGTTGTTCGAGAGGAACACGCATGGATCGGTGTAAAACGGTGGAAGCTTTCGTTTGTTTCGTCTTAACGCAGTTCGCGAGCCTCTTGTTACGAACCACCGCTTCGAGTTCGCCGTAATTCTCGTTTAATTACGTGGCAGTTGTGAATGCAGTTCTAGAAATCATTTTTTCTCGTAGCTGTGCCTTCTTTACTTTCGTTCGAAGACATTAACCATAAGAATTGTCTCGAATTTCACATCTCGTAGATCGAAATTAAAATTGCCGAAAATCCTCGCTTCTTCGAATCGATCGATCAACGAAGATATCGCAACGTTCATTTTTCAAGGGAAAAAACTGCGAATTCCTCGATGAACGCGGATACTGCGCAAGGTAGGAGAGAATAGGAAAGAATAGCAGAGTCGAGGGTAAGGGAAAAAGCGCGGCGGCAGCGTCGATGAAAGGAGAATCGCGCGCGGTTGATTCTATTCACGCGGCGAACGCGAACGAGCGCGGATGCAAGGTTAGAAGAGATAAGCATCGTCGGATTAATTATGCGTAATGCGTCGAACGTGTGCACCGCGTGCGGCGCGCTCTCTCTTCGCTGCATTCAATTATCATTGTTACTCCGGGAGTTTACAGATGTTTCCGCGATAATCACGCTGCCGCGCGATTGCGCGTTTATCCTGCCGGCTCGTATTAACCGCCATTGAATGGCAACGGTAACGGGAACGAGAGAGGAGGAAGAGAGGGAGAGAAGGGAACGGAGGTTGTTGCTGGTGCACGTTGTCCAGCAGCCGGTGAACGTAGCGACGCTCGAAGGGGAACAAAGCAGAGAAGAGGGCACACACTGCGTAGCCGCCACGCGACTTCATTAGGCTCGTTGGAAAAAATTCACGCGGTCGGTCCTGGTTCGCGCTCGTACCGGCAGCGTGTCGTTCTACCACTGGCAACGCTCCAGATATCCTGGTCGTTAGTCCTTTTGAACGCTTCCACGGGATCGTGCAACGCTTGCGGACTCCGCCGTAACGCGTGTAAATCGAAACGTATAGTCGGTCGAGACGATATAGGGAGATCGTAAAATCGGTCAGACGTCGTGGGACACGTAATTTGCAGGTTGAAACAGCAGTTTGCGGGATATAAGGAGCCTGGGACTGATACAGAGCTATTCTATGTCTATTTCAAATTGGCTCCTCTTTTTGAAGTGTATTTAAACAAATTTTTCTGCGTTTCAACCCTTTAACACTCGTGCCCGTGTCTTACCGTGCACAATTCATCCTCCAAAAAGTGCAATTTTGTCTAATTATTTTCCTTCAAAATAAATGGGAAGCTTATTTCCTAATTTAATTAACGACCTCGCAATATCGCTTGCTCTAACTATACGGTGCGGTCAGCGGCGACCATGGGAACTGGCGTACGAAGATGGTCTCAGGTTAATGAAAGGAATTTTTTAATTTGATTTAGGGTTTTCGTTTAATCTTATAAGGGTGGATCGTGGTTGCTTGTATAATACTATGCATAACTGGTACACTGCTGTAACTTTCTTGTCAAAGTGAAGCACAAGGCGCGTGTGTACGTATATACACCGTCCTCAAAGGGTTAATAAAGTGTATTGTACTATCTTAGAAACAAATTTAAATAGCAAAGCTAAGTTCAGAGATTGTGTTACAACCAAAGTTAGATTACATCGTAATGTAACTCTCGCTGGTGAATTTTAACTACAATTGCATACTTCAAAATTCTACTAGTCGAGCGGAATGTACTTGTCTACGTAAGATTCTAGGAACGTTTTCAAACCATATAATCCTCGCTTACTCGTTCTTTCTTACCTTCGATACGAATTTGATAACGAAACACCCTGTACAACCTTGCAAGATAATCAGAATATGAACGCAATCTAATAAATCATCTTAGAACACACGACAATTCGTACAATCGTGTCAAAAATAATTCCTCAGGCCACGTATGATCGTTTCTCGGGGTTGTTTCTTCGAAGTTGTAGGTCGAGGTTCCCCGCGGCGCAGGAAAAACGAAAATGAAAGCATAAGCGGGGCGCAGCATCGAACGGAAATAAATAGTTCGGTAGTTTCTGCTAGGGTTCCGGTTGCACGGCTCCGGAAAAGCGGTCGTCGGCGGCGGGGGATGGAAACACGGTATTGGCGTTGCCGCGCTCTATTTCCGTCCCTCTGTTTTTCGGAGCCCTTTTTCTCTTTGCCGCCGCGCCATTTCGTTTCGTTTCGTTTTCTCTATTCTTCCTCTCCGTTCCTCTCGGCGTCCGCTCGAATGTTTTCATTCGACGGCGTCCCATTGTGCGGCGCCCGCTAAATGCCGAAACGCTGATGCGAAAACTGTTTTCCTTTTTTGCCTTCGTTAACCCACATTCACCGATGTGAACGCGCGCGCGCGTTCCGCTCGCCTAACTCCCGAGAGTTCGCGAGGCTGGCACACAACCCCCTCTTCACCCCTTTTTCGAGCACGTTTATTCTGTTCGTTCTCTCCGAATTAAGCTGATTTATGGCGTTCTACCGACAACAACGTTGCGATTCCACTCTTAACGCTTGCAGCAGCGTATAATTCGCGAGTTGTTGTCGTCGTGGTTGTTTTTTGAAAGATTGAAATCACGAGAAGGAAACTGATAAGGTATCAGTTGGACGAAATTTGTTCTTCGAGGAATTTTGGGGATGTTTTGGGAACATGCAGGGGCACAGTTTCTCTGCTCTGGAAAAAAATCCACGAGACACCGCGCTGTCGCGAATTTCAGCGGCGATAGGAGGGCAGGTGCGCCGGCTGGATTAGGCGGGAAATCGCGCGGATAACATGTTTTCCTTCGGTAATGCCGCGCGACAAAGGGATTTCGCTGGGACCCGACTGACATCGAGTTTAAAGCTCGACAGGCGCGCAAAAAAACAGAAAAAAGGACGAACAAACATAGAAAAAATGCGCGCGTGCGATGTGTGTCGGACGCGCGTAAACACGCGGTGTTACCAAGGGTGGTTGTTGGACGCGATTATCCCTTCCTACGGATCGTGGAATTTAGAAAAGACTACGCGAGTTTAGTTCAGTTTATTCCGCTTTTCTGTTCTAATAGCGCAGGGGAATGTCGAATGAAATGTTCAGAATGTTCGGCAAGGATGTAACGTCGAATAGAAATTTGAAACGTTAAGCTTAACGAATGTTTGCAATCTATAAATATTTTTCACAGCGTTCGAATATCGCCGTGCTGTAACATTCACAGCACGCGTTGCTTCGTGGAAAATAAATTTTTACAAAAAACTGCACCGTGACAAAGTAAAAGTTACATCGAACATTAATCTTTCCCCTGTGACATTCGACTATAGTCGAACACCGTTCAAAGTGTACACACGTTCACTGTTGCGTTCAACTTTAACCCCTCGGCCGGTGCCGTCAGAATTTAGACACTCGACAATATTTTCCTCGCTGAAACAGCGAAAAATACCGAGAAAAATATGTGTACACGGTAAACACACTACTTTTTCCCATTTACGCTACAAGCAATTCTATTTACAGATACGAGAAAAAAAAATAACTGCGCAACGAAAGGGTTAAACCTACACCTCTGCGTACATCCTTTAATTCACCACGCCCTTCGCTCGTTAAAGCAACACGATTGCAAAAGGCTAACCCTCGATACGTGACCCCGGGACCGCTCGTGAAACTGCTCGTTCGCGGAAAACGTTCGAACGTAACGAAAAATCGCGTGGCCAAAAAGAAGGAAAAAGAAAAAAGAGCGAACGCGGTGTACCGCGACTCGGCGGCAATTACTCTCACCCCTCCCACTAACGATCCTGTGTTGTTTTGTTTGCAGGCGTAGTCGGAGCTCGGAACTTCACGATGGAGTGCCGCAAGGGTCGACGGAAAGGTCTACTCAGTGGCCTGGTGTTTGCGTGGCTCCTAACCAGCGGTTGTACCGTCGCGGCGCGAAATATAGGTGAGTGCGAAACAGTATTTACGATTTCAGCGAGCGAGCCCGCGCCGATTCCTAACCGGCGACCTGTCCACGAGTTGGCGCACTGTCCTTGTGCCAATTAAGCCTCCCCGCACGAGCGGAGTACGCGCGAATATTTACGCGCTGCACGAGACTGTGCGCGAGGCCGTGTTCCTCCGGCTCGGTGAAAAATTGCTGCTCTCAAGTCGAACGCGAGGCTTCGCGACGGATAGTCCTGGTGGACGGAGTCGAGCGGCCAGGTAGTCGGCGTTTCTGCTTTGTTGCATGGTGGATAATTGGTAAGAAGGAAATATTTCACGGGTCCAGATACCATTCAGTCTTTTCAGCCCTGTTGAGCATCCGGTGATTGGTGCACTCGCGTCGTTCATTCCTTGCGATTCTCGAGATCTTTGAAAAATTAGGCAAGCTCGTTGCTTTAAGATTATTTCACTGCAGTTTGTAGAATATTTAAGTTCTTCACGAGTAGATTGAGGATGTCTATGCAAAATACGTAAGGTAAAAAATCTGAAATCCGTCGTTTCAACGAGTTTAGTTGTTCCAGTGTAACAGTTGTCACAATTACATAAACACCCACAGTCTACTTACGAGATTGTCAATCGTGATACGACTTCTTGGGTAGACTATATACAGTATTATTTGGATACTTTATCAAGACCATCTAATATCTACAACAAGATTCCCCTATTCGACGATTTTTCACTTAGAATTTACCACCAGCGGAGCGAACGTGTTATCTAATTTGCAAAAAAGCTGAAATTTAAATTGTGCACGAGTTAAGTTTCAATATGCCACGGGGAAAAAAATATTCGTCGGTGAATGTAGATAAATATACGCAACGTAGCCAGGGGTGGGTTTTCGAGCGAGTAGCGAAGGGCGGACAACGCGGATCGACGCAGTGCATATCCGGTTGGGCGAAACCGCAGCACGGTGGCCGCGCTTACGGGTTGACCGTTGAAACATTTATCGGAAAGCAAACACGGTGTGTTTAATAACGAGGATGGAAGTAGCCCGTCCGGTGTGTACACTGCGCGGCCTGCTAGATTCTACTATCGCGACGAAGATCGTCCCTTCGTCCCCTCGAAAGACCCTTAGGAAACGGACCACGAGGACGCCGCCAGTTGTGAATGCCTGTTTAGCAGAAGGCCCTGGGTTCCTCCTCTCTGTGTACGGAACGCCACATCGAGAATTAACTCATTCGCCCCGCTAATCGATTTAGGAGAAGCCGCGTGTGAAGTGATATTGTTGCGGGAAGAATCGACTGCGGCTTGTTTGCCATGGCTATGGCGTAATTAGAGGACAAACACGCGTTACGGGGCTAACTGTGGTTAAATATTTGGAAAAATATCGCGGCAGATGTGACGGCCTCTTCTATAATTCAGGGTCGGCTGACGAATGGAGGGAGAGTGGGCAAAGTGAATTGCAGTTTGTAGGCAATATCGGGGATGCTTTGTGAAACTTCCTGTTTCTTCCTTTTCTATAATTCACGTTCAGACCACTATCTTCTGATTATATTTACAATTGTACAGTTCCTGAATTTGTGCATATTCTATACGCTACGCGGTATAGTCGGTGGAAGGAATATAACGATGTCGTAAAATCGATAGAAACCTGAGGATACAAGGACTCGTCGTAACAGCGAGAAGTATGTCTTAGCTTTCGATTCAGTGCTAATTAAAAAACGAAAAGTGGCAAATTCGACTTTGAGCGTAATTTTTCAACCTCGAGATATTTCTTCCACAGACTACACCCAAGGAACCCGCTAAATATTTCAATCCTCTTTCTATCAATAAAGTTTCCATGTAAAACACAGTTTCCCCGGGGAGTAGCAAGTTGCGAAACAAAAAGTGGTATTCGTTGCACGAGCCACGTTGAAACACAACCGGGTTGCAAAAAGGGTGGAGATTCGGTTGGTTGCGCAACCAAGCCAAAGTTTCGGAACGCGTGTTGCACACACGTCGGAGTGGAACTGAGCATTAACGAGCGGTAGCTCTCGAGAGCGATTTCGAGTGGCGCAAGGGGTCGAGTAAGGAGAGCAAGAGGATAGAGAGGGCAACGGGTAAAAGGGAAACGACCAGGAGAGTTTCTCTCTATTCCTTCGCGATTATCACACACTTCGGTGCGCCTAATCCGCGCGCAACCATCGTCGTCCCCGCGTTTCCACCGTTCTGCCCTTCTTCGTTCCCGTTCGACCTCGCATCGCGCGGCCAAACCTCTACCCTTCGAGCACTCCAAGGAACTCGTGTTCCTCCCTACCCACGCTTCACCTCTCTCTCACCAGAAGAAAACTCACGTAGATAAATCAAAATCTTCGGTATTGTGCGGCGTGCGATCGACGGCTCAGACGGCTTTGGGCCGCGTCTTTGATTCCGGCACGGGTAGAACGGAAGAAACGGCCGGAGAAAAATGGCAGTACGGTAGATAAAAGGGCCGAGAATGATCGTGACGTGACCGTTTCTACCAACGGGCGGCTTTATCTTTTATTTATTCCACGCGATATTATGCGGCTCGATTGGCCGTGATTCTGAAAAATCTCTCAGCTCGCCGTGCTCCTACGGCTTCGTGCAACCACCGCTCTGTTACGGTGCTCGATATTTTCTCATCTGGCTACTCTGCGCTTGCGTTCTGTCTCAATAGTATCCTGTTTAAAATAGACCAAAGCGTCGGTTTTGTCTGTGCACGGTAGAAGAAAGTGACTCAGAAATTTTATTACTGGTGAGATTGTAATTATATTTCAATTATTCTTGGGGCACTTTGACAAAAGGTCGATAAGAGATAAAAAAGTACTTGGACCAGATAAGCCAGCTTTAAACCATTGTCTTCGATTTTCAAGCGTCGCGACGATAAGAAATATAAGAGCGGCGTTCGTCGTAGAGAAAGGTAGTACGGTGCAGCTGGAAACGGAAGTGCGCCAGCTCAACGTCGTTCACCAACGACCGGCCAAACAACCTCGTCCCGTCTGAACCTACGACCCCGAGAGCGTCTCCACCCCTTCTCTTTCTCTCCGGCTTTTCCAGCTAACCCAGGCAACCGTAACTTGCCGCGAACCTTAGCGTCTAAGATTTGTGGTACATCGGCAACACACGGTGGCCCCAATTTACTGCGCATTACGCCGCTTTTCCTGCTTGTTTCCCCTCTCCGTTCGAGTTAGTTCCCCTTCTTCTTCTTCTTCTTCAATCTTTTCGCCCTCTCTCTATTCACCTGATCCGTTAGCCCCGGCACTCGTTCGATTGTTCTTTCGCTATTACTTCTACGGATTCTGTGCTCGTGCAGCGAACCGAACTGCTTCCACTTCCTGGCTTCTCGCGTAAAACATCTTTTCACGATAGCTCGACGAAATCTTGTTAAAAAATTACCTTCTCTTCGTTCAACCCTTTGACAGGCTGATAAAATTACGGTAAGAAAAACAATCTGCGTGAGTCTCACTCGAGATAAACTCTGTCGAAGAGTTTGTAACTTGAACGTATCGTAAAAGAAGTCCGACGATTTGAAAGTTAGTCGATTAACCTTCTTCGTTAATTCTTCTACTTTCACTCACACAGCGAAATATAGTCGTCAGATATTTTGTTTCTAACCGTAGTACGATGTGCATCGAGGCTGGTGGTTTAACCACGTAACAATGCTCGTAGAACGACGAGGCTCGTTCAAAGCCGCCTCAACGTGACTAATCTAATTTCCAATCATGCGCGAGCGGCCGCTGCGAGCACAGTCCGCTAGCCGTCTCTTCTTTCTTCTTCTCTCTGTGCCTTCGGCGTGTGTTTTCGTCGAGTTCATTGAGTTCTACGCGATTAGCCGTTCAGACGGTAACGGCCCGTCTGAGGAGCGAATTTAACTGGTCACTGACACGCGTCATCGTTCCTACGCGTAATTAGAAAAAACCACGATCTACGTGTGTTAACAAGTACACAATTTCCTCTAGCTCTATCCGGTCGATCAATTTAAATCACCCGGATACCTCAAATTGATATCTGTTTTTCGTTCCTACCTTAACGGGACTTTTATGGACCAATAAACGTTACATCGTATTATTTACACGTTATCAATCTCGTTATGCAACGTTTTTTTTTCATCTCCCTCTCTCTCTCTGTACCAAGACAAAGAAAGGATAATTCAATTTCGTTCGAGCTTCTACTATCTTAGCAGTCGAGTGTATGTGTGTGTGTGTGTGTAACAGGATCGTGTTCTTCAAATTACTCGAACAACGGTATTACCGGGAGATCTTTATTACCTCTGGCAAGAAACAAATTACACTATACATACGTAATCTGCGCACATGTGAGAATAATTACAACGGTAGGGGGAAAAAGCACGTAGAGCGTATTCCTGTGTAGGTATACTGGTCGAGAATCGTCGTGTTTCATTGCCGTAAAAATCTCTCAGCCTGATGGAAAACGACCGAACGAAATCCCGTACAGAACTACCCCATTCCGATCCCCACTCCACCGTCTCTACCGCTTCTTCAGGTTCCCCTCTAGGTCGCGTAGAACTTCGTTCTCTTGCTGCTCGCGTTTTCCAATTCGCGCCGAATGGATCGGTCGCGCGGAAAATAAGAGATTGCCGTGATCTTCGCGTCTCTCGTGGTCGTGCCGCACCAGCCACCGTTGCCTCCTTCCTCCATCTCCTGAAGTTGAAAAAGGAGAAAGAAAAATAAGAAGAGAGAGTGAGAGAGAGAGCGTAAGAAAGAGAAAGAAAGAAGGGCGGAAGAGGAAGAAGAAGCAAGTCTTTCAAGCAGAATTCCTCGACGCGGCGTGGGTGGTTCGACGTCGAGCCAGCAGAACGAGAGGACTTTTAATTCTCGTGACGTTTACTTCCGGCGTACGTGACCCAGTTCGTTCGCGAGCGCCTCAAAAATTGCTTGGAACCTTGGTGCGCGCCCTATTTCAACCTGTTTTCTATTCGCGCAGGATCTCGTCCCGTCGTACGGGTTTTGACCGTAATTGAAAATCTTCCCCTACTCTAAATCTCTTCGTGTCTCCCCTAGCGAG